ACCCATTTGGTCGCACTAAAAAACGAAACATTAGAAGATGGATAGAAATGCACATCACATTTTTGCGACATTTTGCCTTTTTAATTTACATTTATTATCAGTTTTTATTGATTAAGTTAAAACTTGATTAATCTTAATGTATTTAAATTTTTTTTTAATAAAAGAGATATTCGTACTGATTAACCTCGAATATCGGCAGTCGAAAGCAAGCATCCATTTCGTTAATTAGCCTACCCTTTCAATGTGCGGAGAATTCTATTTTTAGTTTAAATCATTTTGAATGTATTAAAATGTTTTTAAGATTAAGAAATAGTACCGTTATTAGAACCGGTATTAAATGAAACGGTATTTTACCGGTATTTTTGAAGTAACTATTCGGTACGGTATTGGTACCGAGTACCGGTATCCAACCCTAATTACACGTAATTGTAATGTAGTTAATTACACTGAAAAAATACCTTGTAATTTCAATTACTTTTCAATTACATTTCATTTGCTTTACATAATACATATTTATAATATTACACCTCCATTACACCCTCATTTTACTTTTTTTTAAATCATAAAACAATAAGAAGGTCCTCATTTTTCAGTTATACAAAATCTTAAGTTATTACATTTCCATGCAAATAAACGATTGGCTTGATATTAATAATCTAGATTGCAAATCGTTTATTTTCATATGTTTTATGTTTATTTAAAATTTCGTACCACTTATCTATTTATCTATGAAACATTTCATTCTTTGTTATTATATCAATATTAAAGAATAAGAATGTGTTTAAGATCTCTCTCTTTGGCTAGAGATAATTGCCCTCCAAATCACTGCTGTAAATTGCAATCAAAACAAACCAACAGTGCAAAGAGTAATTCAGCCCATGATTTGGAAGATAAGAACAGTAAAAGTGATTATTTGATTCAATTAAATCGCTCCACTAATTTAGGAAAGGAAAACTTTGAATTCAACAATTATTTTATGAATTTTTTTTTGGAGTTTTGTAAGTATTATATAGATGTAAAAATGTTCAACATTAAAAGCAACTTAGGAAGTTCAGGTTATCTACAATTGAATATACATATAATCTGAGAGGTTTCGGTTGTAACTCATTCACTCTAAATGTCCACTTTTAATCAAGTCTCACAGGCATGTCATTTGTGTTCATGTACGGGTTTTGTGTAGAGGAAATGGCGTCAAGCTGATCACGAATAATTCTTAAATGTTTGTAACTAAAAGTTATAATACCACAAAGATACACAATGCCTAAAGAAATATAAATTTATTCCTTGTATTGTTTGTGCAGAGGCTGTATAAAATTATACACTGACATTTTGTACATATTTATTCATTCACAAGATAATAAAAGTTTGAAAATAAGCCAAAATTTAAAATGTAATTTGTAACTTAATTAATTACTTTTGCAAAGTAATTGTAATTTAATTAATTATATGTCTTAAAAAGGATGTAATTTAATTGAAGAAAAAGTCAAAGTAATTGTAATTTAATTAATTACTTATAAAAGTAATTGACCCCATCCCTGATATAAAGATTTGATTGCTTATTCTTTAATATGTGTATAGAAGATTCTTTTTACATAGAATATTTATCACACTGTAATAATGATTTTATGAGTTTGTACAAGCCAGACGTCATAACTGTTTCATTTCACATGCTGAATACTATCATTTAGTAAAAAAAAAAATCAACAACAACAACAACAAAATCAAAAAAAAAAAAAAATGATCGTGCGGGATTTGAACCCGGAACCTCTCACCTGTTAAGCGATAGTCATACCCCTAGTCCACTGAGGCCCTTGATTTGATTGCATAGCAAATTAAATGCAAACATTAGGTCACATATAATGTTTATATTCACATTCGATATTGTCAAAATTTTACACAATACGTGGTGTCTAATTTAGCCTTTACTAAACAGTTCTAATAGATGTAATAAGAATATAAAGTCCGCTGACAACCTGTATTGTACGTTATAACTCTCCACATGCCCCTGTGCTAAAAATAGTGCCAAGCGACTTTCAATACAATAAATAATATAATGAAAAAAACGGGGCGGGACACTTTGAGAGGGGTGAGAGAGGCCCTAGGGAGTTATGGTATAAAATTTCATTGGAAAAGCTCAAAAGCTTCTTGAGATATCGCCCGGAAACGAAAGTGTTACATACTGACGAAATGTATGAATTTACGATCTTGAACTTTGACCTTTTGACCTCAAAATCAATAGGGGTCTTCTTAGGCCAAGGGAGTGGTTATGTAAAATTTCATTGCAAAAGCTCAAATGATTCTCGAGATATCGCGCGAAAACGAAAGTGTTAAAACAGACAGAATTTATTACCTTTGACCTTTTGACCTCAAAATCAATAGGGTTCTTCTTTAGGCCATAGGGAGTTGCTATGCAAAATTTCATTGCGAAAGCTCAAAGGGTTCTCGAGATTTTTCCCGTAAACGAAAGTTTAACAGACAGACAGAAATACAGACGGACGGACAGACAGACCCAAATTAATACCCCCCCCCCTTTCAGTAAAAGCAGGGGACAATAAAATTACAAATGTGTATAATTTTCTTTTTATGAAAACGGGAACAACATAATGGCGAGTGGATATTCTGCCAGAAAGCAGAGCAGTGAAGTTCTATAGATAAAATATGCTTCAGTATGGAAATACATGATTGTATAAAAATGTTATCATGATTTGTCTTACAAAGTGAATTTAACTCTAAATGGGGTTCTGTATTACTTGTTCATGTTTAATAGTCTTTGATGGATACCAAGATGTTGCGGCCAAATTTGACGCTTGCGTCATTAAGTTTTTCTTGTCTCCTATAGGTTTCTTCTGAGTCTGTCCGTCTGTCTGTCTAGCTGTCCTTCTGTCTGTCTGTCAGTCTCTCCCACTTGGTTTTCCGCTCTTATTTCCTAAATACTTGCAGATATTGAACTGATTTTTGGTATGTGAGTGTATCTTGATGAGTTACAGATCAAGTTTGCATTTCGTTTCGCTTCATTGATTTTTGACGGAATTACGACCTTTTCAATTTTTAAGGGTTTTCCGCGATTGTTTTCTAAACGCTTGCAGATATTGAGCTGATTTCTGATATGTGACTTAACCTTGATTACTTATAGATCAAGTTTGCATTTCGTTCCGCTTCAATGATTTTAAACGGAATTATGGCATTTTCAATTTTTAACGGGAACCAGATTACACTTGCCGGTAGGGGACTAATATTGCTAATGCAATACTCTCAGAATGCTTGTTAGTCCCCTAGCGGTGAAACCGGAGGGGACTATAGGTTTCCTTTGCGTCTGTCCGTCCGTCTGTCTGTCTGTCTGTCCGTCTGTCTGTCTGTCAGTCTGTCCCACTAGGTTTTACGCACTTTTTTCCTAAACGCTTGCAGATATTGAGCTGATTTTTGGTATGTGAGTGTATCTTGATGAGTTACAGATCAAGTTTGCATTTCGTTTCGCGTCATTGATTTTTGACGGAATTACGGCCTTTTTAATTTTTACGAGTTTTCCGCAATTTTCTTCTAAACGCTTGTAGATAATGTGCTGATTTTTGGTATGTGGCTTTACCTTGATTAGTTATAGATCAAGTTTGCATTTCGTCCCGCTTCATTAATTTTTGACGGAATTATGGCATTTTCAATTCTTAACGGGAACGGAACCAGATTACACTTGCCGGTAGGGGACTAGTATTGCTAATGCAATACTCTCAGAATGTTTGTTTCATTGGAAGATTTATACCGGGTCATAATAACGAAACTTTTCTTGAATCATTGTTTTTGTACATGGTGTGATTCTTTCATTACACACTGTCAGAATACTGCGAGGGAAAATCGATTGATGTATGTTAATTTTACTCCCCGTTAGTGAATTTTTCACTAATATAGAGACGTCACCATAAACTGGTGAAGGGCCTAAAATTTTATACCTTTACTCGTCATTTAGGGCCATTGAGCAGTGAGGGTCCTCTATCGTGCCAATGCCTACCGTGATACGGGGTCTCAGTTTTTAAGGTCTCATCCGAAAGACCCTCAACTTTCAATTCAAAGTGCCGAGCGCTTGGCGAAGGAACAGTTTTTAATTGACTAAGGTCAGGTCGCGGCCGTGATTCGAACACACGACCCTCCGATCATGGAGCGAGTGCTCTACCGAGTTACCGTGACTGCGAGGGGAAAAAAACAAGCCTTAAACGCTTTCAGTTCCTATCATCCTTTTAGATATCTCCATCAATTCATGTGATACTACATGTATAAAGCCCAAACAATACAAGAACCAGTACACTGTATTTTTAAACAAAACACCAATTTTATGTACATTTATTTTTCATACTACTAACACTACCCCAAAATAGTGTAGAAATCTACACCACAGTATTCTATAGTTGACTGAATCATCCACACACATAGTATTGTATTTACCACAGTAAATCAAGGTAGGAAAATTTCACTTGAGTTTATGGAAATATTTTTACTTTAAAATTCTGATTGTTATATATCATTAATCTCAATTTTTTATATTAAAAGAAAAGATAACTTGAGTACTAGTATACCTTTCTAAAGTCATTTTCAAATATGAAACTAAAAAATATACTGCTAGAAATTATTCTTGTATTTATTAAAATTATGAATTTTACAGTTAAATACATGTAAATCGAATTTCCATAGTAGAATTTGAAGTATGTACCTTAGTAAACCATTATGAAAGTTTACTTCAATTAAAATCCGAATTGAATTACGTCTATTAAAATTCCATTTAAATATAGTGAAAAAAACGAGACAAAATTCTAATGACTGTAAAGCCTCTTTGATGGTTCCTACAATTCTACTTGATCTTCCCTAGGCGATACACCTCCACTGTAAAAGTCAACTACGCAATTTGAATTTACAGGAGGAATTTATATAATTTTTTCTTACATTTTCCTTGAATGGCCATCAAGATTCAGTTACTATATATTTGTGATATTTAAGTTTCCTTTTTCGGTTCTTAGGTAAATACTTTGGTTTGGATCACGATGGATACGAGCAGGTTATTACTAAAGAGTGTATAAAAAAAAGTGGGCACAATTTACCTGATGATGAAACATACGAGTCCCAGTCTACCTACAATCCGTACAATGTACATATGGGCCAGATGACTATTTACAGGTAGAATTTGCGAACTTTTTTTTAGTTTGTCCAATGCACGTATAATATATAAGCATGTTTATTTTAAATGGTATTTTAATATTAGTTAACACAATTTCACTCGCAAAATAATTGGACCAATAAAGATTAATTATGTTACATATTTACCGAAAAGTTAAAAATCACGCGGTGTTAATAATAATTATGGAAGCCCGTTTAAGATCTATCGAAACGATGTTTGAATTCCAAATACATGTAACTAATTTGTTAAAACGAATTTAATTCATTTTGGCATTTTTTTTTTTTACATTTGTTGTTAAGAATTAAATTTGTTGTAACAAATTTGACAAATTTGTTAAAACGGATTTAAAGAATATGTTTTAACAATTAAATTTGTTGTTATAAACGAAGTCTAGAATTTGTTAAAACGGACTATTAGTAAATTTGTTTTTTTTAAAAATCTTAAATTTGTTTAAACGAATAAAATTCGTTTAATCCAATTCGACATTAAGGGCTTTAAGAAAAATATAAATTTGATATAACGAATTATCGAAAACATTATATGAATTTAATTAGTTATAACAAATTATTATTCGTTTACACAAATTTCATTCGTTATTACAAATTTTGAATTCTTTTTAAGGAAATCATAAAATTTGTCATTACAGATTATATTCGTTATTATAACAAATCCAAAAAAGTTTTTAACAAATTAAATTCGTTAAAAAATTTCAAAGTTTCATCAAATTCAAAATATTTTTGACAGTTCCTACATTGGCTTCCGTAAATGATATTTTCACGTCACAATGCATGTATAGATATAACTATCAGTAGAAAATTATAGCAACGTGATGGCACGTACAGAAGATGACATTGTGTGTAGGAAGTCAGGAGCTATATGAATATGATATAGTGATAAACTAAAGAACTATCCTTATAAGGGCAAATTACTTGAATATGGTCCTATACCTTTCATAGCTTTTTTATGTCCCCGTATCGAAGATTCGGTGGTATATAGTTTTTGCCCTGTCCGTCCGTTTGTTCGCAAAAACGTTAACCTTGCCCATAATTTTTGATTGGTTGGAGCTATGACTTTCATATTTCAATTGTGTATTCCTTGTGACAAGACCTTTCTTTGGGTACCATCATATTTGACGTTATGACCTTGACCTTGGAATTTTTTTGAGACTTTAACCTTGGCCATAACTTTTGAACGGTTGGAGCTTGGGGTTTCAAACTTCATCTGTGTATTCTTTGTGACAAGATCTTCCCTTGGATACCAACAACTTTGACCTTGGAGTTTGACCTACTTTCGAAAAACTTCAACCTTGGTTATAAGTTTTGAACAGTTGGTGCAAAGGCTTCATTTAACATGTCTATATCCTGTGACAAGACCTTCCTTTGGATACCAACAACTTCGACCCTTTGACCTTCACCTAGGAGTTAAACCTACTTTTGAAAAACTTTAACCTTGGTCATAACTTTGAACGGTTGGTGCAAGGGCTTTCATTCTTCACATGTGTAATTCTTGTGACAAAACCTCTCTTTGAATACCAACAACTTTGACCCTTTGACCTTGACCTAGGAGTTTGACCTACTTTTGAAAAACTTTAACCTTGGCCATAACGTTTGAACAGTTGGTGCTAGGGTTTTCATTCTTAACAAATGTAATCATTGTGACAATACCTTCCACTGGATACCAACAACTTTGACCCCTTGACCTTGGAGTTTGATCTACTTTTGACAAATTTTAATCTTGGCCATACCTTTTAAACATTTGGTGCTATAGCTTTCATACTTCATATGTGCATTCCTTAGGACAAGACTTTCCTTTAGATACCAACAATTTTGGCATTGACCCCGACCTTGGAGTTTGACCTACTTTTAAAAAACTTTAACCTTGGCCATAATGTGAACGTTTGGTTCTAGGGCTTTCACATTTCAGGAATATGTGTATCACTATTGACAAGACATTCCCTTGGGGCCCCATTTGACCTTGACGTTTTACTTACTTTTAAAAAATCTTTAACCATCGCCATAATTTTTGAACAGTTGGAGCTAGAGCTTTCAGAATTCACAAATATATTCCTCGAGACAAGACCCTTCTTTGGGTACCAACATTTTTGATCTCTTGACCTGGAGTTTGACTTGCATTTGAGAAACTTTAACCTTCGCCATAAGTTGCCATACGGGGGCATCGGTGTTTCACAAACACATCTTGTTCTTAACAGCAATAAACGCAGATTTAATTATTTTTGTTTGAGAAGGAAGGGTCTGAAGCAATTTAATTATGTCAGATCCTTGATTCGCTCCTAATTAAATAGTGACAAAAAGAAAGTAGATTGAGAATCTGAAATATATCGAATTGGTTCAGGAGGGGTTGAACCTAGTGGCAGTAACTTGACTATTAGTATGAATGTAGTGTCAACTGTAAGAAGTCCTTGGTTGCAAAACATTTATGATTTTATATTTACGAGAGAGAGAGAGAGAGAGAGAGAGAGTAATCATTTGCATTTGAAAACTGACATAAGAATATTTGTGATTTGGGTGTATCTTTTTAAAAGCTCGCTCAAAATAATCAGAGAGCCGGAGATTCCCTTGGGAATCTTAGATTAAGTACGCTTTTCTTATTTTTTTTTAAATAGATTGAGGCTGATAATGAGTTGTAAGGAATGTAACCCAACCGAAAAATGTTCCCGTGTTCTTCCATTTGAAAAGCAACAATGGACGTCGTATATGGGGAATGCTGGTGACAGTCACTGGAAGTCTCGGGATGAGAAATAAATGTTGGTTTAACAATCAGTGTTGTAATGTATAAACTTTGTTCATATAAAAATCCCTATCTATTCTTAGGGGTCATGACTTTAACTGTCCTTATCTACTCTACAAATAAATGCTTTACTGATAATTCAAATCTTCAAAAATCTTCTCTTTTTTTGTTGCTCATGGACTTCTAGGAAAGCTAGAATTTTTGCAGGATTTTGATCACCAATGAGCCAGACTGATTCCATGATTAGAATGAGTATCAAGCTTTTACCAAAGTCATGAAATGCTTTTCTCTGGTGTTACATGGTGACCTTATTCGTTTTCCTATAGAGTCTCGAAATGTTGTTTGAAATATGACAGTCTCGATTTTTATATTTTTAGGTTATCCTGCAATATCCATGAAAACGCAGACTTTATTTCTTAGATCTTTATTCATGTGCATCTAGGCAAACTTGTTTTTCATCATTATAATGGATACTCAGTTTTTTAAACCGAAATCATGAAAATTATGGCCCTTGGTTAAGGCGTTAGGATGGGGCTTAATTGGTCTTAATTGAAAATACTTTGAACCTTCAACCCATGGTTCAGGCCCAGGGTGAGGCTAAGTAAATATATACATGTGTATTAGTACCGATGACAGACAAGAACCGTTCACAGTTAGGCCTACCTCATGAATTTATCAAACAACATGTAGATTCCATATTAAATGCAGCAATTTCAACAAATTTAGCCCAAACTTATCGAAGGGGATTGGAATAATTTTAAGTATATCGTAATAAATACTCTCTACCTTTAAACTCATCGCTTCCTGTAGATCAGGTAATAAACCACATGGTTAACCTTGCAGATACCTCTGTAGACATACAACCGTACGATGCTATCTTCGTAAAATAATGTACTGACTCCAAATACACTCTCAGATTGATACCACTTAATTACTTATTGTAAAAATGCTATATGTAGAATGTTTGCACAGGTTGAAGCCCTCTAAGAACACCTGCTCTCAAATTAGCGATTTTACAGATTCAGTTTAAAAAAAAAAATCTGTTGGCCATGGAGGATTTCAAGTCACAACAAACTAATATCGAGATACATATAAAGGGCTCAGAAATAATCAGCATGCAAAAGGATCTGTACTACACACTTCGTTTTGCAGATCAATTTGCTTATTATTAATAAAGCAATGACAGAAACTGCCTATCTTCTATACTTACATGTATAAATGAATGTTTTGCAAATAAACTCCGAAACGCCTGCACCAGAGTTCATACTTAATCCTCTTAAATTACAGTAAGTATGAAATGATGTCGTAAACGATATTCAGATTACATTTGCAAGCTAATTATAATTATAAATTTTATCAAGAAAGCTACTTTCATTTTTTATAAAAAGCCGTGCAATAGCAAGAAAGAGAGTAGGGTGGTGGGTACCGTTGTCGGATCTAAGTTACTTGCAATTTTTACTGAAACTGACAATAAGAATTCGTTTAATATATTTGATAAAACGTTATTAATGATTTATTCAATGAAAACTTGAATCAAGCGATACAGAAGCAATTGGATACAATTACTAATAAAAAAATAAAATGTGCTAGTCTTTTTCTTCACCAGTGTCCGATTTTATGGTCATCTGAGTCACTCAAAAATCTTCTTCTTTACTCCTGGACATCGAGCAGTCAAACGATTAAAACGATTGTAATAAGTATCGAGTCCTCTACCAAAATTGTGAAATTCATGGTCCCAGGGTCAGGGGTTCTGGTGCTAGGAGGGGACTATGTTCACTATACAGTGAAAATCTTCTCTGCTCTTGGGTATTAAACAAAAAAACAAAATGCATATTTATGACGAAGAAAGGTGCCTCTTTCAAAATTTTGAATTCCATGGTCCCTGGGTCAAGGGTTCTGGTGATAGGATGGGGCTCTAATCATTGTATAGTAAAAAAGTGCATTAATTCTTTGAAAATCTTCTCCTCTGCTCCTGTGTTATTAAGCCGATGAACTAAGTACATAGTTATGATAAAGAAGGGAACCTCTTCCAAAATTGTGAATTTCATGGCCCCTTTGAAAATCTTCTTCTCTGTCCCTAGTATTAAGCATACGGACTAAATACAATAATATAAATGTAAATGTATAAATATAAATAAGTAATTGTGCCTTTTCTCTGTTCCCGGATATCTTAGAGGCAAACAAAGTACAAAATTGTAATAAGTGAAGCAAATGATGAGGGTTACTCCCCATTGTTAAAATTGTGTTAAATCAAGAAATCCTTCTACATAATATATTTAAGGTCAAGATCTAGTAAATGAAAGGTGCCTACAGATTTCTCAAATTTGAGCAATAAATTCCTTTAACGATGCTTTATAACGATGGCTTGGTCAAATAAGGTGTATCGGGGTATAATTTGTAGATAAACAAGATGAAAAATCGTATTTTAATGTCATTTTCAATGAAAAATTAAGAAAATCAGTCAAGAATATTGGAGTTTTTTTCCATATTAGACAAAGGAAATGTATAAAGATGGCCTACAGTCTCTCAGAAAACAGTAATTTGTGTGTTCTTAGACTCTTCTTTAAAATTATATTAAATTGAATATAGGTATCCGGATTACTTTTCACATGATTTCAAATTAAATTCCATGAAAATATTTTATTTTCTACTTAATTCTATTAGAGCCGTAAAGTACGGGAAAAGGAAAGTTTAAACTGATTGTGACGTCATTATGGATCTAGCACCAAAAAGACAGTCTAAAGTCATTCACTAAATCTTGACCTTAACAGGTTATTTGATTGAATGAGAATACAAAAAAGAATGTTATATATTTAGAAACATAATAAAAATATTTGGTTTAAATGAGCAAAGCATGCTCAAAGTCAGATTATTTGCTGTAAAGCATTATTATTTATGTAGCAAAATAGTCAACTGTACAGCGTATGTGTCTATTGTCGTGTCCTGATTGTCATTTGATGAGTTTTTGTCGGGTAAAGTCATGGAAACCATAGATTAGTTGGTATAAGTGTGCATAAAGGTGTTTTATACTTTATCAAAGTGACCACGTGATCACACAGAGCCAGGGTGACTAGGGGACATATTGTAGTTTGTGACAAATTGCAAATAGCCACGTTGTATAGCCAAGTGGTGAGTGCTGATAATAAGTATTACCAAGTTGTTAGTATACCCAAGACGCAAGTGTTACCAAGTGACAAGCAGCTGTTTGTGTAGCAAAGAGGCATCATCTCGGGTAAATATACAGGCGTTAGAGATTTCTCTTTGTGTACTTAATTGTAGCACTAGGCAAGTGACAAAAACATATCGGTATATATTGAATACCTTACACACTAGGTATTTGTATATTTTGCATTCATTATCATCCCTGTTAGACTTGCGGAAACCAAATTCGATCCCACGGAGATCGCTCGGGTCTCGCAAGTTACATAAGCAATGGTATTTTTACTAGATTTTTGAAGTTCTTGGGGACCATAGCTTCTTATATCAGTTTATTTTGTTTTATACTTCTATGGATCCTTTACAGTGTTGTATTATACTCATGTTACCGTTAAGGCCCTTGGGCCTCTTGTAGTATCTTCAGGGAAATTTCTAGAACATCAGATGACATCGAAAACGATGTTCAAAGATAAACGAGGCGATTAGCACTACACGAATATAAAAAAGCTCCTGATGTTAATAGACATATATATATATATATATATCGAATGACTATTAGTAAGTTTTGCTAATAAGTAGACCAGTAAAATGTGCATATTCGCCACTGAGAACACCGTGGCAACGACCCTAAGTACAAATCGTCCATAGTAATAAACCTGAGAAAATTTTAATTTATGAGCATGAAGAACATGGTAATGTTCAAATATATGAAGTAATAGGGGAACATTCTAAATTTTGTAATTTACTACAAAGAAGGGTCAAAATATGCCCTGTAAAATGTTCAAAATGATATTGAAATTCTGGCCAAATATTTTTTGAGTCTAGGTATTGTAGTTTATCAAAGTGGAAAAATCTTGGAGTTCTGTACTTGTGTACCTGAGATCTACAGTCCCAAACTACATGAGATACAGGAATTCGCTTAAATTTATCACATTTTTTGGATGAGATATCAAATTTTATATACAGCACAAGCCTTCCCCAAATTTATTTAGAGTTAAGTTTAAAAAAATAACATCAAGAAGTTTCTATTTTTGATAAAAAAAAAATGTGGGGCCGATGTGTGCTATTACCTCAAAAAGAACATTCTACAGATATCCGAATTTCCTCATTTTCAACCCTTTTGCCCATTGTAATTTATATTATTATAAATTTTGCTAAAAAATCAACCATTTTTCATAATTACCATTCTACGATTTTTTAGTTGTTTACTAAGATTTTAGTGGGTGTATAGGTCCAATATTTGTTTTATTTTGGGAAACAAGATTTACTGTAATTAGTTGAATCCCACACTAGAGGTAAATAAACGTCTTCTGTGAATTGGAACCTTCCTTCGAAGTATAAAACCTCTGTATCATGTAGGAGCAAACGAAACGAATACATTAAAAAAACACAAATAAGAGCTACATTACTTTGTTCCGAAAACCATTAATTTTAAAGTTATGAACAGATACTGGGAATGTATTCAAAGTCTATACTTCATGTTCTCTATTGTTATTGTTCGCCATTATTCAGTAAAATGGACAAAATGAAATACGCACGTGTAATTATAACAAGTATAATTCTATATCTCATCCTTAATTAAAATCATGGCTTTACATAAACCATCTTTGTATACCATGATATATCAGCCTATACTAACTACCATCAAGAAGATCGATCTACAGCAGGTACATCAGGTGCGATGATGCCCACAAGGCCCTGCACTGTATAGGAAGAAGGAGAAGTGAAAGTAAAGGTTTCACTAAATTCAAGAAACGATATAAAAAAACGTACTAAAAAAGAATTAAAGACAAATTCATTTTCTTTTTATTTAATACTTGAAGATTAGGGTAAATTTTTCAAGGAATGGTAACTACATGTACATGTAAATCCTCTTTTTAAGGCATTATTAGGGCTATAAAGATCGTAGGAAGAAAAACTGGGGTGGGGGGTTGCACCCACGACCCCACAACAAATTCCTTGA